ATAACTTCAAGTTAGAGTAATAGAAATTCATTTTTAAAAATAAAAAAGAATATGCAAGCCCATTTTTAAGAGAAGGAAGCTCTAGCTGACATCTTGGGTCATACAAAAGATTAAGATGAATAAATATTTGTTGACATATTAGAAATATTAAGAAAGGAAAAAGTTGAAGATTGCATTGGATTTCTATCAGATATTGGGAATCAGATATAATTTGAATCATTAATCTTACTAAAAGTAGGAAATTTCACCAAAGCTGATACAGAATAGAAATTGTCTGTTGTTAGAAATTAAATCAAATAAATCACAGAAGTCTTAAGAAAATTAAAAGACCATGACTTCCATAAGATAGACTATTCCTCTGAAGAAAATGAAGAATCCACATAAAGTTTAATTAATAGTATCAAGGATTATAGATGGATCTTTAAATTTCTATAATTTTTAGTTCACCTCACATCCATTGATGAAACTTTGATATAATGTGGGTCTAATTCTTTACATTTATTAGTTAAGATGAAGGTGGACCTTAGCATGAAAAATTTGGAAAATATTAAGATCTAAAATACTTCTTTAGTAGGAGCAAATTTTGTTATGTGTAATTTAAGTGAATCATAATTTAATAATGTCAATATAAGTGGAATAAATCTAAATGGAGCATAATTATTTAATTGTATATGGAAGGACTTAAGAATCCAAGAATTAAATATATTACATGGTCATAGTGATTAAGTAAGATCTATTTGTTTTTCTCCTGATGGTAAAACATTAGTTTCTGGAGGTGGTATGAAATATAGAGGTAGGGATTGCTCTATCCGTCTATGGGATGTCAAAACAGGATAATAAAAAACCAAATTAGAAGGTCATACTAGCACTGTCAATTCAGTCTGTTTCTCTCCGAATGGGAATACATTTATTTCTGGAGATGATAATGGCTCTGTCTTATTATGGGATACTAAAACAAGAAAGAAAAGAGCAAAATTAGATGGTCATATTGGCAAAGTCTTCTAGGTTTGTTTCTCTCCTGATGGAAATACATTAGCTTCTGGTAGTAGTGATAAGTCTATCCGTCTATGGGATGTCAAAACAGGATAATTAAAACCATAAATAGATGGTCATGATGAAGCTGTAATATCAGTCTGTTTCTCTCCTGATGGAAATACATTAGCTTCTGGTAGTAGTGATAAGTCTGTCCGTCTATGGGATGTCAAAACAGGATAATAAAAAGCCAAATTAAATGGTCATAGTAATTGTATCAATTCAGTCTGTTTCTCTCCTGATGGAAATACAATAGCTTCTGGTAGT